AAACACTACATACACACACACACATACAGCCACTCTCAAATTTCTTACCTTTTCGGTTCAGGAGGGTGACTTCTGCTGGCTGGGGCTGTTGGGAGTTTGCTCTTCTGTTCCACCCCACCCTTCCTCACTCCTGCACAGCTTGGTCTGTGTCAGCTGGGATGAAGCGAAAGGCTGTCACTTTCTCCCAGCTCTGTGATATTAAAGATGTCCGGTCGCAGTTTTAAAGTGCTGCCGTGCACAACCCCCTGATTATACATTGCCCCGGTGTAGCCACACTGGCGAAAGTTACACCATTATGGATTTGTATCTGCATACAATGGGGGTATGCATACCACAGGTTGGGAACCGCTGCTTTAAAGGAACATCATAGCATTAGGAATACAAAAATATATTCCTAGCGCTATAGTATCCCTCAACCACCACACCCCCAGTTAAACACCCCCCCCCCCCAAAAAAAAACCGCTTTTACACTTCCCTCTTTCCATCTTTGCCTTTTGCCGTGCGCCTTAGGCCTTTCCCATAGGAAAGCATAGAATCAATGCTTTTCTACAGGGGTTATGAAGATGTTTGCCGTCCTCATATAAAGCCTGATTGAAAGTGTGAGGACGTCAAGGGATGTTTCAAGCAGTTTAACTTTTTAAATGCAGGAAGCACCTCTAGTGACTGTCTGAAACAGCTGCTAGCGGCAGTCTTAACCCTGCAATGTAAACAACTGCAATGTTTTATATCGCAGGGCAAAGGTGAGAGAGACACTGCAATAAGATGAAGTGGCGTGGTGCCTGTAGTGTCCCTTTAAATATAAGTATGTTTCGAAATCAAAATACAAGATGTATTGCATGGATTTGAGATACATAAACTGAAATAATTAATAAACATTTTTTAGCTTTTATTCCTTGGCTGCAAAAAACAAACACAAAACACATTTTTTGCTTCTTGCATAAGTGAAATCTTCAGAACAATCTGTGTGCTAAAGGAGAGAAAAGGATACATGCATAGATAAAGACTTGTAGAGGGATGGCACAAACACTGGGCAGAGGGGTCCTTATTGCAATGGAGTGTATCCTTTTTAAATTGTATCAGTTTTAAAGGTAATAAAATGGACTTTTCCATATCTCTCTTTGGAAAGAGCCCTTTCGTCTCTTTGATTGAACTACTATCGTCATCAATTTTTAATATGCCTGTTTGACCCATACATTCCCTCTTTTATTTGATTGCTTTTTTTTTTGTCGGACATGGAAGGCGGGTGTATGGGAAAACCCCATGCCACCTCATTACATAACATACTATTCATCTCTCTGTCCCCCTCATTTTTACATTCCATTTACCTGGATGAGAGACCGTCTATGATAATT